TCTGCACCTCCCGCACCTTCTCCGGAACCTTCTCCGGAAACTTGTTGAACCTGACCTGGCTCTGCACCAAACAAAGCCTCCCAGACCTTCACCGGGAACCTTCTCCGGAACCTCCGGAACCCTGTTGAGCCTGACCTGGCTGCACCAAAGCCTCCCAGACCCTCTCCGGAACCTTCTCCAGAACCCTGTTGAACCTGACCTGGCTCTGCACCAAAGCCTCCCGGAACCTTCTTCGGAGCTCTGTTGAACCTGACCTGACTTTGCATCAAAGCCTCCCACACCTTGTCCGAAAGCTTCTTCTGAAGCCTGTTGAACTTGACCTAGCTCTGCACCAAACCTCCCAGACCTTTTCCGGAACCTTTGGAACCTTCTCCGGAACCCTGTTGAACCTGACCTGGCTCTGCACCAAACAAACCCTCCCAGACCTTCTCCGGAACCTTCTGGAACCTTCTCCGGACCACGACCTGGCTCTGCACCAAAGCCTCCCCGACCTTCTCCGAAACCTTTTCTAGAACGTTCTCCGGAACCCTATTGAACCTGACTTGGCTTTGCACCAAGGCTTGCTGGAACCTTCTCCGGAACCTTCTCCGTAACCCTGTTGAACTTGGCCTGGCTCTGCACCAAAGCCTCCCGGAACCTTCTCCTGAACCTTCTCCGAAACCCGTTGAACCCGACTTGGCTTTGCACCAAGGCTTCCTGGAACCTTCTCCGGGGGACCCTGTTGAACCTGACCTGGCTCTGCAACAAAGCTTCCCAGACCTTCTCCGGAACCTTCTCTGCAACCCTGTTCAACCTGACCTGGCTCTTAAAGCCTCCCCAACCTTCGGAACCTTCGCAAAAAACCCTGCTCTGCACCAAAGCCTCCCACACCTTCTCCGGAACCGTCTCATGAGCCCTGTTGAACCTGACCTGGCTCTGCACCAGAGCCTCCCGGAACCTTCTCCGGAACCTTCTCCGGAACCTTCTTCGGAACCTTCTTCGGAACCTTCTTCGGAACCTTCTTCGGAACCTTCTTCGGAACCTTCTTCGGAACCTTCTTCGGAACCTTCTTCGGAACCCTGTTGAACCTGACCTGGCTCTGCACCAAAGCCTCCCAGACCTTCTCTGGAACCTTCTCCGGAACCTCGTTGAACCTGACCCGGTGCCTGCACCAGTGCACACCGGAGCTATTCTGGGGTGAAAACCCGATTAGCTTACGCCGTTGGAGAAAAAACATTCAGAAGGAACTTGCATCAGCATTGTGAAATGACGGAAGTCGGGACAAAGGGTTTGGGATATATGGGCTTCAACCTACGGCCGTTACAGTAGCATGCTGAACGCTTTCGATCTTTTTTCTGTCGGTCCAAGAGCCTTGGCTCTTGTCATCAGCCTACCAATCCCAAAATTGTAAATGATTCAGAGCGAAAATATTCGAACATATTCTCTTCTGCTTAGTGGGTCCTTGGGTTTCGAAAAGCAGTAGACCATTCTAATCAGATACTCTTTTCCTCACATACGATTACTTCAACACCTTTCTCTCAGGTATGCCAACTGCCAACAGCATGTTCCTGTTTAAAGGAAGGGTGAATAAATTCCCTTCAGGTGGAACCTCTGCGGGATATACTTTTTGAAGGATATATATATATATATATTATTTGTATCTCAAAGCTCAGTGTGTATGAAACTCCATTCAATGCCCTTGAGTTGCTCTGCATTGCTCTGCGTTGCTCTGCAGCCAAACTACCATGTCCAAATATCCCAGAAGTGCAGCTGCCAAAGACCTCTTTCATATTCGGCATGACCTGATCAAGACCGCAGCTGTCCAACTGGCAGGGCAGCCCTATGGAGTCCTACTGACTCACAAACGACTCACAAGATATCAGTGCCTCACATGCTGAACTGCCCTGATTTATGTTCCAGTTCACTTCAGGGTCGCCAGCAACAGAATATCAGATTCGAGAACACCCCGTGTTCTTCATGAACTGCTTCGCAGCTTTGCATGTATTGCCTCATACATCACGGCAAATATAGAGTATGAGTGCAAAACAATCTCAACCTGAGAATTCTTGATACCAGGTGCCCGTGGGCTTCTGCCAACAACACATTGGGCGTGCAAGAGCTGCAAGGAATTGCTCAACAGAGCGCAAACTCTTTGACGCTAATTGTGTTGAGTCTTGCAAGATCAGTCTGGCCTCTTGAACTTTCTGGTGGCTTCAGTCATTGGGTTGTTTTCGTCGAGAATTTTGCGACTCCCATTTCCCCCTTCAGGAAAGCCAAGCAGCTCTGCTGTAGGAAAGAAAGGATCTGGACTGTTAAAAGGATCCTAGGCCGTCAAATGCTGTCCGACAATTAAAACCAATAGTCGCAGCTGGACATGCCTGGCATTTCAATCACTTTCCAACAGCTTGTATATCTTGTAGCTACATTGTCATTTGCTGTGATGTGCTAAATGGATCTAAATGGGTCTAAATTCCTCTAAACGGGTCTACACGTGATGATGATGATGATGTTCCATCTGCTGTGACAGTTTCCGTTGCAAGTGCTAGGCTAGCAGTTGGCCTCAGAAAAAGATTAATCCAACCCTGAAACTAGTGGACTTGGCTTTGCAGCCGAGAATCACGAAGCACAAGTTCAAGAAAATATGAGACCTCGCAAAGAATTGAGCTGGATCTTGCTTGAACTACTTGACTTCTATTTTTCACGACCTTCTTGAAGATTTAAAGAAACTTGATGCCAAAATCACCTCCTCAGCTGCGCATATCTTTCCTGTAGGACCTTCGGGTTTTCAACGGGTTTTTGCTGTAGTCCGCGCTTCAGCCATGCGTTTTTCCATCTTCCACAATGGGCATGGGGTCTGAATGTAAGGAGATGTAAGTCAGCACTTAAATGTAAGAACGTCTATTGAGGGTCGTCCGCCTCAACGCCACTTCTCTGAAAATGCAAAAAAAACATCATCTTGAAATATCTAAAATCTACCAAATCTCCCTATAGGTATTAGGTCGGCTGTGCGAATCCAAGGCGCCAATGGTTCACCACTTGCGCCCGCATGGGAACAAGACTTAATTCGGAGCTGATCAGGCCTTCTCTGTAGACCTTGCTGTGGCAAGGGCTTCGACTTCAAGTTCGCACACAATGACAACTGTTGGTTAGCATCCTTTGTCTACAGGATGAACCAGTTCCCACAATTCATCCCTGACCTGAATCCGAAGCTTCATTCGGACATATACGGTGGTCTGCAAGTTCACAAAGAACGCGTCCAATTGCACCGTCTGCCTCAAGGCAAGTGTCACTCGAAGGGCGTTTGCTGCGGACATCTTGTTCAGATGCAGAACGCCTCACTATCTTAATGATTAAGTTTTTTTGATTTGTGTGCTGATCAGAATGCCTCACTATCTTAATGATTACGTCTTTTTGATTTCTGTGCTGATCTGCGAGAAATTTGGCTGCCAAGCCGCGTCCGTCGATCAATCCAGTTATTCTGAATCAAACTGTCAATTCTCGATTGGACTTCTTCTACTGGTCTGCCTGATAAGCAGGTTGGGACTCCAAAGGGGAAGATTGGCTTTCATGAGCAAGGTTGAATGATAAAGTTTGTGGTAGTCTGGGCTGAAAATTCCAAACCCAACACGGAATAGCCATGGACACACGCAAAAAAATGTCGAAACAACTGGATATATAAGCCTCATCCAAAACAAAACCCAAAGAACAGTGCCTCACAGTACACCACGCATTGCCATGCATGTAGGCACGCCAAAAAACAGGAAAGTGATAAGGGCATATAAAACAATCTTCCATCCAAACAAGACAAACAAAATTGCCTCAAATATGGACACCACCTGGAAAATCTGTTTTCAGGAAGAATGCGTATTTGTTGTATCTCAAGTGTCAGGTAACTAAGAAAAATGCATAGTAAAATGTAATAGTTACCATCCACAGCAAAAGGTGCAATGGCTAAAGTGTGCCAAATCTCTTTGTAGGCAGCAAATATTCCAACAGCATGTTGATAATCCGCCTACATCTATGCGTCAGCTCTTGATCATGTTCGCTGTTCGCTCTATCTTGGCCATTTTTGAATATTGTGAAATTTTCAGTGAAGTTATGGCGGGCCACAGCTTCAAACGGCTTGTTTTGGAATCTTGCTTGACGCGGTGGACTTGAGGCCAGGGGGTAGGGTGGTTATCGTAAAGGGGGAACAGCAAGGTGAAGTCGGAATGCAGCAACGATCTCACGCGGCTTTTTGGAGATGCTGCAAGTCACAAACGACTGCAAGTTACAAACAATGCCAATCTTTTGATGTTCATGCGCTTGCTGACCAGAACGATGAAGAAAACTGATGATGACGAAAGTGATTTTAACAGGAATGAGTTGATGACGACGATGATGAGGACGAAGAGGATGATGAGGATGATGAAGATGATGAGGATGATAAAGATGATGAGGATGATGGGGACGATCAGGATGGTGAGGATGCTGAGGCTAAGAATGAGGATGAAAATGACGATGATGATTATGATGAGAAGGTCTGTGGTGGGGTTGCAATATCTATTGGGTCCAGCAAGCGAAAACCCCCCAATGCAGGTATCGTCTCTCGCCGGGCCCGCCAAGTTTTTTAAGCAAAAGAAACGCAAGATAAACAAAATAAGCTTCGGTGGTGTCCCCAACAGCCGCAACGTTGTATTTTTACAAATCTTTCTGTGCGTGCTGCGAAGACAAGCGCTGGAACCTTCTCCGGAACCGGTTGAACCTGACTTGGCTTTGCACCAAGGCTTCCTGGAACCTTCTCCGGGGAACCCTGTTGAACCTGACCTGGCTCTGCACCAAAGCTTCCCACACCTTCTCCGGAACCTTCTCCGCAACCCTGCTCAACCTGACCTGGCTCTGCACCAAAGCCTCCCCGACCTTCTCGGAACCTTCTCCGGAACCCTGTTGAACCTGACTTGGCTCTGCACCAAATCCTCCCAAACTTTCTCCGGAACCTTTTCCTGAACCCTGTTGAACCTGATCTGGCCCTGCACCAAAGCCTTCCTGAACCTTCTCTGGAACCTTCTCCGGAACCCTGTTGAACCTGACTTGGCTTTGCACCAAGGCTTCCTGGAACCTTCTCCGGAACCTTCTCCGGAACCTTCTCCGGAACCTTCTCCGGAACCCTGTTGAACCTGACCCGGCTCTGCAGCAAAGCCTCCCAGACCTTCTCTGGAACCTTCTCCAGAACCCTGTTGAACCTGACCTGGCTCTGCACCAAGGCCTCCCAGACCTTCTCCGGAACCTTCGGAACCTTCTCTGGACACCGGAGCTATTCTGGGCTGAAGACCCCATTAGCTTACGCTGTTAGGGAAAAAACGACCCCCAAATGGAAGCTCTGCAGTATGCATACGAAAGATGCTCAAGACAACGCAACATATGTATCATGATGATGATGATGATGATGGTGCTGGTGGTGGTGGTGGTGAAGATGACGACGGCGACGATGGTGATGATGGTGATGATGGTGATTGTGATGATGACAGTGATGATGATGATGATGACGATGATGTTGACGACGATGACGAGGCTGATGATGATGAGGAGGCTGATGATGAGGAGCAGGAGGAGGAGGAGGAGGATAAGGATGAGGATGAGGATGGAGATGGGGATGGGGATTGGGATGGAGATGGATAATGACGATGAAGACGACGATGACGACGATGACGACGATGACGATGACGATGACACTGACGACACTGATGATGATGATGATGGTGATGAGGACGACGACGACGACGACGACGACGACGACGACAATGATGACGATGATGACGATGATGATGATGATGACGACGACGTCGACGACAAGGATGATGATGATGATGATGATGATGGTGATGGTGATGGTGATGGTGATGGTGATGGTGGTGGTGATGGTGATGATGATGATGATGACGACGATGGTGATGGTGGTGGTGATGATGATGGTGATGATGATGATGATGATGATGACGATGGTGATGGTGGTGGTGATGATGATGGTGATGATGATGATGATGATGATGAGGAGGAGGAAGAGGAAGAGGAAGATAACCATGATCATTTGGAAGCTGGCAAGTTTCCGGTGATAATTTTATAGAGTTGATGGTTGATTTACTGAGCATGACGTCCTGAAGATGAAATACTGAAGAGGACGACCCTATACCTGCAGGAAACCAAAGGCCCAGCGGGACCAGGGGATGAGGATGCTGATCAACGATGATGAGGACGAAGAGGATGATGAGGATTTGGATGCTGCGGATGATGGGGATGATGAGGATGATGAGGGTGAGGGAGAGGGTGAAAATGAGGATGGTGAGGGTGAGGATGAGGATGAAAATGACGATGATGAGGGTGAGGATGCGGATGAAAAGGAGGATGATGACCCTCTACCAGCCGAAAATCTCCGCTCGGGCAGGGACCCGGGGGGATCGAACCTGGGCCTACCCCGGGGGGGGGCTAACTTGAAAGTTTCAGGTTTCCAACGGTCCTGGTGCCTGCCTATTCCTTGCTAAAGTAAGAGCAACTTCAGCTAGCACAAGCTAGCTTTCGCGATAAAAGAGCAAGAAAGAATGAATCCGGGAACTTTCGAGGCATCTCTGGCCTGAGTCTATCCAGGCCTCGTACTCCACTGGCCGGTCAGGCCCCAAGGCCTAAAAAGTCATCAGTGGAAATACAACCGAAGAAAATTCAACATCCAACTTTTCCAACTTGATCCAACTTGATCCAACGTTAACAGGAATGCCTCTCTTTTGCGCGGCGGCCTGGAATGCATCATCTACATCAAACGCTCCGAAGTTGCCCCTGCAGTCCCAGGGCTAGAACAGAGCTCACGAAGAAACAGAACAGAACATGCAGCAATCAGCGCATGCAGCATGTGCTGCGGCATGCGCGGTATGTCTTGTGACATCAAAATCTATCAGAGCTCCATGCACCGGCTATGATGTTTGACCCTTTGGTTACTTGGTACGTCCATTCGCCACCATCTTGTAACAGGACCCTCTGTGATGAGTTGTTTTTGGCAACCTCAGCTTATATAAGTAAGTTATGATTCCAAATCAAAACCACTGGCACCATCCAAGTTCCGCTCTTGGATTTTGGCACAAAAACCTTCTGATGTAGTCCAGCTGCAGATATGTGCCAGGAAGTGCTGCCGGATAGCAGGCGCCTGCGCTTCAAATCAATACGATGTTAGAATAGAGTGGCACTGCTGGGCATTGAATGCTGTCCAGATTACCCAACAGCCAGTCTGATCCTTACTTTCAAGTGAATCAGGCTAGATCATTTACAGACACAGAGTATTTGCTCTTTGCTTGATTCGCTTGATGGGAGGATGGTTCTTGTTTCGGGTCCTGGGTAGAAATTCACCATGTTGCGAGTGAGCCCATCACAGCCCGACACTGTTCCCTTCGTCTGCACCACCCTGGCGAACCCAACGATCTTCACCTAGGTGACTTAAATGCAAAAACGATCGAAAACCTATCGAAGCTACAAGGGGATAGAATGCTCGCACCTAGAAATTAATGCCATTTTCACAAAAACACCGTCAAATATTCTAGCACAGTATCGCTGCACGCCCTGGTCTCATTGCTCCAGCCAGGTGTGTAATCTATTCCTCTCTTTTTCTCTGTCTTTAACTTCAAGCATGATCGTCTGCAACCTCTTTCTGCGCCTGTCAGTCCATGTAGGCCACACATACACGCAGAACACAGAGAACACACAGAGCGCGCCCTCAATTGAGGATGCACAAATATGCTGCCCAATCTGAAAAAACAATGCTCCAATGAATACTGACTTATGATCCACAACCGACTCCGGAAAAAAACACGATACCCAAAACCAGGCCAAATCAAAGGTGTACCCTCCCGACAATGGTAAACCGGCAAGCCATTCCTGCAACACGATGTGGGTTTGCTAGCGCAGCAAACTCGCGCAGACAACAATTTTGAATTTTGCAGACTAGTTGCAGATGCTGAGAAAGCATCGGTTGCAGGATCCACAGTTGGTACCAATGCATTCCTGGATTGGAAAACTTTGAATTTTACTCCCGTATGTGTTGGCAAAATCCACATGAAACAAACACGTAGAGCACTGCGACACTTCCAGTCACAAATATCTGATGGGTACTGCGATCCCTCGCAAGGAGTTCCCCTCGTTTCAGTGTTCCTTATCCACCACGGGATGTCATCAAAGTCTTCCATCTCATCCACACGAAATCTCCGTGAACCGCCCAAAGGATGAGGTCGTTCGGCCACAGTTTCTTCCAAGGTAGCCTGAACAAATATGAAACCATTTGAAACGCCATAGGCAAAAATGATTTGTTTCTGCGTTTGGACTTCAATGCCGAAACACACAACCAGATCTGAACTGCAGGATTGTGAAGACACGCTGTCAAAACACGTCAAAACAAACCAAAGCATACCATACATACAAACAAACAAACACCCTCACTACACATCGGGGGAGGTGCTTCCATGATCCTGTATGTCCGCATTATATGCGTCCAGTTTTATATTCAGGAAACATTTGGGTACAGCGACCCCTGACGGAGCTTCGTGGACGTTACAAATAAATGCACCCACACATGTATCAGCACACAGCCACACATACATATAAACTTCTATCTACCTCTACCTTTTCCTCTACCTTCACTTTTACCTCTACCTCTACCTCTGCTGCCTGTACTGCCTCTACTACCTCTGCTGCCTGTACTGCCTCTACTACCTCTACTACCTCTACTACCTCCACCACCTCTACCACCTCTACCACCTCTACCACCTACTACCTCTACCACCTCTACTACCTCTACCACCTCTACTACCTCTACCACCTCTACTACCTCTACCACCTCTACCACCTCTACCACCTCTACCACCTCTAGTACCTCCATGACCTCTACCACCTCTACCACCTCTACCACCTCTACCACCTCTACCACCTCTACCACCTCTACCACCTCTACCACCTCTACCACCACCTCTACTACCACCTCTACTACCTCTACTACTACCCCTACCTTTACCACTCTACCTCTACTTTTACCTCTACCTCTACCTCTACTGCCTGTACAGCATCTACTACCTCTACTACCTCCACCACCTCTACCACCACCACCACCTGCTGCCGCCTCTACTGCCTCCACATTACCTCTACCTCTACTACCGCCTCTACTGCTACCTCTACTACCACATCTACCACCTCTACCACCTCTTCCACCTCTACCACCTCCACCACCTCTACCACCTCTAGTACCGCTAATACCTCTACTACCTCTACCACCTCTACTGCCTCTACTACCTCTACTGTCTCTACTTCCTCTACTACCTGGACTACCTCTACCACCTCTACTGTCTCTACTACCTCTACCACCCTTACCTCTACCCCTACCTAAAACCCTACCTATACCCCTACCTCTACCCCTACCTCTAGCTCTACCTTACCACCTCTTTCTTTCTGTATATCTGTGTCTAAAACGATATCTATACATGTCTGTATAATACGTATAGATGTATCTATGTGCTTGTGTATCTATGTGCATATCTACATATCTATGTGTATGTATGCATGTACATATATGTACTTGTATATTTTATATGCAAGTGTACACACACACATATATATATATGTGTGTGTGTATCCATGTATGTATAAATATATGCACTGAACTGATCTTCTCGGATCTTCTAAGGGCCTTGATCAAATGAGCGGTCTGAAATGGCTCCTCTGCTTCGCCAATGGTCATCACTAAGAAAACGTAGGCCAACCTGCATCAAGGCTTCTCATGTGCCTTCATGGGCCCTGCTCCCTTGACCTTTGCCAGTGATGAATTAACGACCGCAAGTCAAATGGCCCAGTAAGAACGCACACTTGCAGCGAATAGAGCGGGCCACACAAGCTGGACCAAAATGGTTTGACCTACTTGTCGCAGCAAACCCAACTTGTAATTCCGTGGAAATCTTCTAATCCTTTCAATTGCCAATGTCAAAACCATCTGCGCTTGGACCAAACTGGACCTGCCGTATCTACCTGCCCCAATACTGCCCTGGAGGCATAGCCTCTTAGAACCTGAACACTTAATATGTATCAAACCGTCAGACCTCATGATTTTCAAAATCTTCCATGGAAAACGGAAATTTCTTTCCAATCTGCTCGCCCTCCACAGATACATTCTTTTGGTTGACATAGGAGGGTAGACGCGTCAATTTGGGACACAAGCTCATGCTGCGCTGGAACACAAGTTGGGCGTTACTTTGGGCCAAGCTACCAAATCCCAAAGGTCATTGGCAATGTCCCACATGCCATTCTCATTCCTGATGTTGCGCTCAATGGCTGACAAAATGGGCCAAGTATTTGTCTGCCCTCGTGGTATGTGCATGATGCCGAAGGTGAAGTGCCGCTGAATCTTCCAACGAATCGCATTTGGGACCACGACATGCTCTTACTGTTTCTTACTCGCTCTGGCGTCTGACAAACCCCCACCAAATCAAGGCCAACATAGGCAAACTACACATTTGGAGGTTGAAACTTTAGGAAGCCAATACGGGACACTGACCCCTTCATCAATCAATACTCGGCAATGTTCACAATAGTTCAACTGAAAAAGGCTCAGTGCATTCTGACATCCCTCAACAGAATTTCATAAGCTCCGTACTTCACAAAATTGAAATTGCTGTTCGTGTTTCTGTCTGAGATTAGCGGACTGCATCGGGCCGAGCGTCCTTTTCTCACCGCCAGAAACTCCTCCAGCTGAGACAAGGTCACGCCGACGTAATTGGCATCTGGCTCCACTGGCGGTTGACTGTCCATACCTGAGCTGAATCTGCCTAGTCTGCCTGCTCTGCCCCGTCTGACAAAAGGCCAACAATACAGTGATCTTGCCCAGACCAATGGCAATAACGTGATCATAAATCGTTGTTGAAACTAAGCCCTTGCGCTTGGTTTTGCCAACCCTGCCAACGGTTGGAAAAAATCCGCAGAGCCCCCTTGACAGCACGGGGGAATGCCGCCGCCACCACCACCACCACCAACAACAACAACAATAACAACAACACCAGCAACCACCACCACCACCACCAAACAACAACAACACCAACACCACCACCACCACCACCACCACGACCACCACCACCACCACCACCAACAACAACAACAACGAACAACGAACAACGAACAACGAACAACGAACAACGAACAACGAACAACGAACAACGAACAACGAACAACGAACAACGACAACGACAACGACAACGACAACAACGACGCCAACACCAATACCAGCACCAACAGCAACAGCAACAACAGCAACAACAACCAACAAACAACAAACAACATACAACAAACAACAACCAACAACCAACAAACAACAACCAACAACCAACAACCACCAACAACCACCAACAACCAAACAACCAAACAAACAAACAAACAACCAACCAAACAAACAAACAAACAAACAAACAACAACAAACAAACAACAACAAACGAACAACAACAAACAAACAACAAACGAGCAACAACAAACAAACAGCAAACAACAAACAAAAAACAACAACCAACAACCACCAACAACCAACAACCAACAACCACCAACAACCAACAACCAACAACAACAACAACAACAACAACCACAACAACCACAACAACCACAACAACAACAACAACCAACAACCAACAACCAACAACCAACAACCAACAACCAACAACCAACAAACAACAAACAACAAACAACAGTTTCAAATTCAGACTCCTAGAGCCTCTCACTGACCGAATGCAGCTACATTTTTTCATGGCCGAAAAGAATACATGCATCGGGCACTCGACTGTGCCCCCTTAATGCCACTTGATGAGGACGGCAAAACAACTAGCTACCCCCCACTGTCTCTCCCTACCAGACCGACCCTCGATACCAGCAAACAACAAACAACAAACAACAACCAACAACCACAACAACAACAACAACAGCCACAGCCACAGCCACAACCACAACTGCAACCAACACCAACAACACCAACAACACCAACAACACCAACAACAACAACAACAACAACAACAACAACAACAACAACAACACCACCAACAACGCCAACAACGCCAACAACACCAACAACGCCAACAACGCCAACAACGCCACAACATCAACCACAACATGAACAACACCACAACACCAACAACAACATCAACAACAACACCAACATCAGCAACAACAACCACAACAACCACAACAACCACAACAACCACAACAACCACAACAACCACAACAACCACAACAACCACAACAACCACAACAACCACAACAACCAGAACAACCACAACAACCAGAACAACCACAACAAACACAACAAACACAACAAACACAACAAACACAACAAACACAACAAACACAACAAACACAACAAACAACTACAACCTCAACTACAACCACAACCACAACCCTCATGGCACTGCCGGTGTGTGAACCTCTACAGAAGACATTTCACATGAAGCCAACGGGTAACGTTTCAAGATTTGTTCTTCCTTTATGAAGCTCTGGGGAAAGTGTGTTAACGTGCATCACATGTAATTCTGTTCCCGCTCGCCTTTATCTCCCCAAGTTCATGGCTGCTAAAGCCAGATGAAGAAGAGATGGCATGTGATCAAAATGTAAAAACTGATAACTACATGATTACATATATATATGTGTGTGTGTAACTACCATATCTGATAATATCACAAAGTATACTGCACAATGATATGAAGAAGCTCTTGCTAAGGTTCTGCAGCTTGGCTTGAAGAATGGCAGTTGGTTGAATGTTTCAAATTTCACCAGGCTTCTGTATGGCATAGATGCAGCTGACCCGGTCATAGATGCAGCAGACAATTGAGAGCCTTGTCCTTGCAGGGTAAAGCACCAAACTAGCTGCGTGAAATCTGCTGCATAACAATAACCGACGCCAAGAGCGAAAGTGGGAGAACAGGAGAGGGAAATTTGTAGTCAAACAGTCATTCTTCGTGTCATCATATGCTGTCTGGCGAATCCAGGCAAGTGTGCCCCAAATTCTTGTCGCTTCCGCATCAGCCCTCCTGAACGAGGAGTCCCTTCGTCAGATCCAATGAAGTCATCTTCTCTGGCCTCGATGCAATGCTCGTCAAGGTGAGCATGGCTTTGGACCATCCAAACGCATGCAAGACTCCTTGATGCTCCTTGAACCGCCATGACTAGAATCCACTAGATGCTGCATTAGATGCTCCAAGACTGCGAGACATCTTGAACCGCACCTCTTCTTCCTCAGCCTGGATCACATCTTGCTGTCGTGCAGCCTGGGCCAAATGATGCGACATGCCAAAATGCGCACAAACATTTCCAGGTCAAAGTAGGCTCAGTGATCAACTGAATCAGTTGCCTGAATTTTGACCGTATTATCTGCATCAAGATTTCTACACCCAGATCTCCGGCTCTGTGAGGTGCGCCGCACCACCAGGAGGAAGGGTTTCTTACAAAGTCTGCATCTGTGCACAGAAGTTCCAAACACAAGGGCACGCGATACCAAATGCAAGATCGAACAAGAGTCATACAATATTCTGTGATTTAATGAAGTCCCAGGGGCCAAAACCCAAGGGGCAATAGTTGAATTCCGTAGTGGTGGCGGTTTCCGAGGAGGAGGAGCCGGGATCTCCTGCTCCGCGCGCAAGCCTTCAGCGGCATCAGTTTCAAGATGTTTCATAGGCTTTGGTAAGTGACAAGAAGGCATGGACAAGAAATGACAAGGCGTGCCCCAAATAAAACAACCTCAAACTGCAAGTTTTTGAAGCCACGGATGCACAAACCGCAAAAAGAGAAGGCTTCCGTAAGAGGTCACAATGGGAATGAATCACATCCTTCAGTCTTGATGAGAGCGTGGGCCTTTAACGCTGTGTGAAGCTGGGAGTGATGAATTAGTTGAAACTATTTAGAAACACAGGGGAACTATATCACTCACGTCTTCAATGGTATGTACATTTGAATATGTGTTGCCTGATGTTCAATCCCATGGTCAAACCAATCAATGAAGCTACAAACAATTCTCATCGCGGTGATTTGATAGCCCTACATGTGAAAAGGCCTACAAACGTGAGTGACATTCATTAGTTGCAGTACCAGCCTTTACCTGATTGTCTACTGCGCGCTGCCATTTTTGGCCATGTCATTTTGATATGGGTCGTGCTGCGATGTACCAAAAATTCACGTTGGGCTGGATTATTTTGTTAAATGCGTTCTGATAACAGCCTGCTCGACTTGTTCAAAACTTTGGACCCTGTGTCGTGCACCATGAGTCATTTCAGTTCCCATGCTTATTCAAGTTGGCACTGTCCTTGACAGATGTTGTTCTTGCAAATGTTCGAAAAAACATCAACTTCTCCGGAACGGGAACATGCGGTGGGGGGCCCTGTCGCAGGACAAGGGGAATTTTCAACTGCGGAAGTGAGAAGATCAAGAACAACAGGAGCAGGAGGAGGAGGAGGGTACTAAATTTCCATGTCTATCAACAGTGTTCCAAACCACTTATGAATTGTTTGTTCAAACCCTGCCCAAAAAGCGACCAGGCTGTCCAAACATGCGTGTTCTTACGAATTCAATAGACAGATTCTTCTATGACTTATCTAAATGATCGGAAGGAAAGGTTCCGAACCATTTTTGACTGCTTTACCTCTAATATGTATACCAGTAGTACCGCACGAGCGTGTGGTCGGAAGTTTCAAAAATAGGAAACCTATAGGAGAGATTGGTTGTTGTGAATCAGGGATGGCAGAGTGAAGCCACTGATGGACCGAAAGGTGGTTGATGTCTCCTCTCTTTCTCTCTCTTTCTCTGAGTATCTACCTACCTACCTATCTATCGATCTATCTATCTCTCTCTTTCATCTAATGACCTATCTAATTACCTATCTATCTATCTATCGATCGATCTATCTCAATCTCTCTTGGAAGTGTAATGTAGTGAAGTGTAGTGTAGTGGATTCCAGTGTAGTGTAGTGTAATGTAGTGTAGTGGAAGGTAGTGTAG